TTTTGGGCTTTTCTCCCCAGAAATCCCCAATTTTGGACTTTTCTCCCCAAAATCCCCAATTTTGGGCTTTTCTCCCCAGAAATCCCCAATTTTGGGCTTTTCTCCCCCAAAATCCCCAATTTTGGGTTTCTACCACCCAAAAACACCCGAAAAAACCCAATTCTGGACTTTTCTCCCTGAAAATCCCCAATTTTAGATTTTTTTTCCCCAAAACCCATTAAAAAATCCCCGATTTTTGGGTTCTACCACTCAAAAACCACTAAAAATTCCCAATTTTGGGCTTTTCTCCCCAAAAAACCCCAATTTGGGGCTTTTCTCCCCAAAAACCCCCAATTTTGGGTTTCTACCACTCAAAACCCATTATAAAAATCCCCAATTTTGGGTTTTTCTCCCCGAAAATCCCCAATTCCACATTTTTCACCCCAAACCCCATTATAAAAACCCCCAATTTCACATTTTTCACCCCAAACCCATTATAAAAATCCCCAATTTTGGGTTTTTCTCCCCGAAAATCCCTCATTTCATATTTTTAACCCCCAAACCCATTATAAAAATCCCCAATTTTGGGTTTTTCTCCCCAAAAATCCCCAATTTCACATTTTTAACTCCAAAACCCATTATAAAAATCCCCAATTTCACATTTTTAACCACAAACCCCACTCTAAAAATCCCCGATTTTGGGTTTTTCACCCCAAACCCCATTACAAAAACCCCCAATTTCACATTTCTCCCCCCAAACCCACTCTAAAAATCGCCGATTTTGGGTTTTTTCCCCCATTTCCCGACCTCGCCGTTGTCCTTGTCCACGCTGTGCGACTCGTCCAGGATCCGATCCACCTCCACGTAGTCGGGGTTGAAGGGCTCCTCATCCTGCCCAAAATCCTCCTTTTTCACCCCAAAATCCTCCTCTTCCACCCCAAATCCTCCTTCCGCCCCCACTGCCCCGGATTCGCCCCCAAAATGCCCCAATTTCCCCCAAAATTCCCCAATTTCCCCCAAAATTCCCCATTTTCTCCCCAAAATGCCCCAATTTCCCCCAAAATTCCCCATTTTCTCCCAAAAATCCCAATTTTCTCCCAAAAATCCCAATTTTCTCCCCCAAAATTCCCAATTTTCTCCCCCAAAATTCCCCATTTTCTCCCCAAAATTCCCCAATTTCTCCCCAAAAATCCCAATTTTCTCCCCCAAAATTCCCCATTTTCTCCCCCAAAATTCCCCATTTTCTCCCCAAAATGCCCCAATTTCCCCCAAAATTCCCCATTTTCTCCCCAAAATTCCCCATTTTCTNCCCCCAAAATTCCCCATTTTCTCCCCAAAATTCCCCATTTTCTCCCCCAAAATTCCCCATTTTCTCCCCCAAAATTCCCCATTTTCTCCCCAAAAATTCCTGTTTTCTCCCCAAAACTCCGGATTTTTTCCAACAAATCCCCAATTTTTCCAAAAAAATCCCCATTCGCCCCCAATAATTGTAATTCCCCAAAAAACCCCGATTTTTCCCAAAAAATCCCCATTTTCCCCCAAAAAAAACAATTTCCCCCAAACATCACCAATTTTTCTCCCAAAATTCGTAATTTTCTCCAAAAAAACCCCATTTTTCCCCCTAAAAATCCCCATTTTCCCCAAAAATCGCAAATTTTCCCCAAACCCCTGGATTTTCCCCCAAAATACACAATTTCCCCCCCAAAACCCCAAATTTCCTCCAAAAATCCACAATTTTTCACCCCAAACCCCCATATTTTCCCCAAAAAACCCAGATTTTCCCAACACCGCCAGATTTCCCCCCAAAACCCCAAATTTTTTCCCCAAATCCCCAATTTTCCCCAAAAACCCTGGATTTTTCCCCAAAAATCCCCATATTTCCCCCCCAAAAAATCACAATTTTTTCCCAAAAAATCGCAATTTTCTAGGGAAAAAAAAAAAACATTTTTCCTAAAAAAATCCTCGATTTTTCCCCCCAAAAAACCCATTTTTCCCCAAAAACCCCAGATTTTCCCACAACCCCTGTATTTTCCCCCAAAACCCCAGATTTTTTCCCCAAATCCCCAATTTTCCCCAAAAAAACCTGCATTTTCCCCCAAAAACCCCCCAAAAAATCACAATTTTTCCCCAAAAAAATCAGAGTTTTCTAGGAAAAAAAAAAACACTTTTCCTAAAAAAAATCCCTTATTTTTCCCTAAAAAATCGATTTTTCCCCCAAAAAAGCCATTTTCCCCCGAAAAACCCAGATTTTCCCAAAACCCCTGTATTTTCCCCCAAAACACCAGATTTTTTCCCCAAATCCCCAATTTTCCCCAAAAACCCTGGATTTTCCCCCAAAAAATCACCATTTTTCTCCAAAAAAACCCCACAATTTTCTACAAAAAAACCACATTTTTCCTTATAAAACCCCCTATTTTCCCTTTAAAAATCCTCATTTTTTCCCCCAAAAAACGCCATTTTTCCCCGATTTTCCCAAAACCGCCGGATTTTGCCCCAAAAGGTCGCGCACCTCGTGGAAGAAATGCCGCATTTGGTTCATTTTGGTCTTGAAGCGTTTCAGCTTCTGGTGGATCCTCTTGTCCTTCTCCAGCTGCGCGATCGTCGCCCACTCGCAGTGCAGGTACGAGCTGGGGGCAGGAAAAACCCAAAACGGCCAAAATTCACCCCAAAATATCCAAAAATGAGAAAAATCCAGCCCAAAATGTGAAAAAATGGGAAAAAAACACCCAAAAATGAGCAAAAACCACCCAAAAATGAACCCAAAAATGAGACAAAAGGAGCAGGGCAGGTACGAGCTGGGGGCAGGAAAAACCCAAAACGGACAAAATTCAACCCAAAATATCCAAAAATGAGAAAAAACTAACCAGAAATATGAAAAAATTAGAAAAAAACACCCAAAAATGAGCAAAAACCACCCAAAAAACCCAAAAATTGGGCAAAAATTACCCCAAAATATCCAAAAATGACCCAAACTGACCCCGAGTGACCACGAGTGACCACGAGTGACCACCACTGACCATAACTGACCATGAGTGACCATAACTGACCATTGAGTGACCATGAGTGACCATGAGTGACCATGAGTGACCATGAGTGACCAT